CTTTCCTCGACTAGAAGTCACGAAAACGAAAATTTTCATGTTTTTACCAAAGTGATGCTGTGCTGCCCCTTAGTAGATAGTTGTGTACTATTAGCCTGCGGAAGTATAAACATAAATTTTCAGCTCTCTACAAGCAGTAGTTTTCGAGAAATATGGATTTAAGCGTAAGGCATTCAAGTAAGGCAAGCTATATTCAATATTTCTCGAAAACTACTGCTTGTAGAGAGCTGAAAATTTATGTTTATACTTCCGCAGGCTAATAGTACACAACTGTCTACTAAGGGGCAGCACAGCATCACTTTGGTAAAAACATGAAAATTTTCGTTTTCGTGACTTCTAGCCAAGGAAAAAATACGGCACCGGCGTAAATAAATGTCTTAGATGGATAGTGTTTACATGAGCAAGTTAGAATTTTTGTAGGATTTTTTTGAACGGAGTTACGAATTTTTATCGATTTTTCAGGCATTTAAATCTTTTTAGTTTTCGCGTTGGAACTCGAGATGTAACAAAGCTAGTACAAAAGCAAAACAGCCATCTTGTAGAGCTTGCTTTGATCTATCGAATGATACCTTGCAACTTATCTAGAAATGAAAAGTGTATGACTTATTGCGATCGAAATTCAAAACGGACGGAACTTATGGGACAACCTGATACATCCAGTAATGTTTTAATAAACTGGCCGTTGATTATCCTTTTAATATTTATTTTATCCAAAATTGGGTGAATGTAATTGGTTTTAACATTAATGAACTTTCTGGTAATATTATCTCCATGTTTATCTTTAGAGAAATTAAAATGATACTTACATAATATAGCTAATAATATAGGTCTTATTTGTTCTTTTATTAGATCTAGGAACATTGGATTGTAACAAAGTTGAATAATCCTATTTAGAAAAGGTTTTTTGAGAGATGTAATGTATCTGTATAGTGATTGTGAAAGGAAGGTATTGTTAACTATATTTAGAAAATTCTCAACAGTATCTTTGGTTTAATTTTTGTTTCTTCTCCTACTTCTACATCTGTCTTTGGTGATACTAAAACAGTAATAAGGATGATTATTTTTGTATTGTAGCGGATTATCTATGTTAGATATGTTCCCGTAACCTTTGATATTATCATTTAGTCCCAATGGATAAGCAGTATTGAGTAATTTGATCCAAAAAAGCTCTTTTTCGGAAAGAATGGCTTTGTCTTTATTGCAATCACTGTTATCAAGAATCGAAAATGTAACGTTTCTATCTTTACAGCTGTTTTTGAAGTGATTGTACAAGTAATTATTTACGTCGTTTTTATGCATATGGTACAAATGCTCTTTAATTCTATTTTTGAATTTCCGAGTAGTAAGCCCTACATATTGTTTTCCACATTCGTTACAAGTTATGCAATATATAACATTTTTACTGAGACAAGTGGAGTTGGCGCTTAAATAAGTATTAATTCTCAACTTTGTAGAATGTGAATTTATATAAGGATCATGGTTCATCAAATTGCAAATGGAGCAAATAGGTAAGCAGTAGGTTGCTACTTCGTCATTTCCAAAACTATCTAGTTTGTAAGTATTGTTTACCTTACTCTTTTGAAAGGGTAAACCTAAAATAAAAACTGGGATCGTAATTTATAGTTTTTGCAGACCAATAAAAAGGACTACAAAGGGTAGGCCTACACCGAAATGTAGCCAGGGGGATAGTAATTAAGCAGGACTGCTGCAAGGTTTACGGCGAACCTCGGTGGTGTTTCAAAGAATGATTAAAATTTCGAAGATGTGTAAAAGAGGTAAACGGGGCAAATGGGGTCATAGAAGCGCACCCCCTTAGCCCACCCCTACTGGTAATACCCATCAAATGCCCCCCTATTTTTTTAGAACAAGAGGTATGGCCCTCTTTTCAAGGATTTGTTAAGAGTGGATAAAGGACTAAAAATTACGAGAAAGACCCTATGAACTAACTATCCAAGAAGGAAAGTGCTTGTATGAGGTGAATGTATGAAGGAGTAGTAAGGTAAACAATATACGGCACCTACTGTTGTTGTGGTTATATCTGAACATCAATTCAAACAGGTAGAATTGAGAGGATTAGTAGGAAATGTAAGAACAAAATAAGAACAAATAGGTGAAGTGTGATATGTTATTAATGTTATATTAAAACTTGAATTGTATCTGTGTAAGCCAATCATAGAAAAAGTATAATAGGTAGAAGTGTGGGGATTTTTATCAATTAATTTCAATTTAATATACTAATTTGTATAGTATTTATGGGGTGTCTTTCGTGATCAACCAGATATATTAGTATGTATATTAAGGAATACGTGTGTGTAGATTCTTTTGTAACAAAAGTTCGTATAAGAATGTGTAATATCACTAATATGCAAGAATGTTATCAAAATAGTATGAATATACTGGCATGGATTATTGTATATACACTGTTACATATGAAATTTTGATCTTACATCTTGCTGTCCTTATTAACATACTTGTACTATGCCATATATTGTACCAAACTAAGTTTGACAACTTATTTATAGGTATATCAATTTTTTAACGCTACAGGTCCCTACACGAATAGGATGCCTGAGTATCAAATCTGTTAAAAGGAATTGTATGACATTCCCTAATATTTATGTTTCATTGTTATAATGTTATACGTCTCTCTATCTTTGTTCCAAGAACCTCGCCTTATTTTTATTATTTGCTCTATCTGACAATCTAGTACTTGTTGAAGTAGTTATATATACACTTTGTTATTTCTTGTGTGTGTGTATGTGTGTGAGTGTGTGTGTGTGCGTGTGCGTGTGTGTGTGCGTGTGTATAGTGTGTGTTTATATATATATATGTGTGTGCATGTTAGAGTGTTTAAGAGTGTGTGTGAGTATGTGTAATATTTAAAATATAGATTTGTAAGTGTAAGTGTGTCTGTAAGCTAGTTTATATGTTTAAAATGAAAATTATGTGTATGTATATATTTTTTGGGTATAAAAATGGTGATAGTGAAAGGATTTGTGTAAGCTATATGTGTATATATCTCATTTTTGCTACTTCTGTGTCACTATTGAAGCAAATGATAAGTTAGCCATGGGTCCTGTAACGATTAGTTGAATACTGTAATCAGCACTGGTAGTCATATCCTCTCTGTCTATCCAATTGTTATATTTTGTTTGTTATCTAATTTGTGAGTTTTTGTTAGATCCTTTTAATGATCCTGTCAATTTTATGAATTAGTATTTGGTAGCTATTACATATATATTAAAAATGTGAACTAGATAGTAAAAAATTGTAAATGTAGTGTGATATAAATATAGGTAGTACCTCTGTATGTGTATACAAGTATGTGTGTGTGTATGTGTGTGTGTGTGTGTGTGTGTGTGCGTGTGTGTGTGCGTGTGTATAGTGTGTGTTTATATATATATATATATATATATATATCAGTGGCGTACCCAGGATTTCGGCTCGGGGGGGGGGCGCGACAAAAAATTTTTTCTAAAGAAGGTGCGTGGCGTTAGCCACGCACTCCGAAAAAATTTTTGAGGTGCTCCTAAGAACTTTTGCGGGTCCCCGACCCCTGAAATCCGGAAAAAGGGGGCGTGGCGTCAGCCACGCCCCCGAAAAAAATTTTTTTACAAGGCTAATTAGAATTTTTAAAAATTTTTAAAAATTATTTTAATTATTTACAAAAATAAACAAGTCACTTGCACATTTTTATAACCCATATAAGTAACTTTCAAAAATTTCGCGACCCATTCTCGGGGGGGGCGCGCGCCCCCCCCCGCCCCCCCCCCTCGGTACGCCACTGATATATATATATATATATATATATATATATATATATATATATATATGTGTGTGTGTGCATGTTAGAGTGTTTAAGAGTGTGTGTGAGTATGTGTAATATTTAAAATATAGATTTGTAAGTGTAAGTGTGTCTGTAAGCTAGTTTATATGTTTAAAATGAAAATTATGTGTATGTATATATTTTTTGGGTATAAAAATGGTGATAGTGAAAGGATTTGTGTAAGCTATATGTGTATATATCTCATTTTTGCTACTTCTGTGTCACTATTGAAGCAAATGATAAGTTAGCCATGGGTCCTGTAACGATTAGTTGAATACTGTAATCAGCACTGGTAGTCTTATCCTCTCTGTCTATCCAATTGTTATATTTTGTTTGTTATCTAATTTGTGAGTTTTTGTTAGATCCTTTTAATGATCCTGTCAATTTTATGAATTAGTATTTGGTAGCTATTACATATATATTAAAAATGTGAACTAGATAGTAAAAAATTGTAAATGTAGTGTGATATAAATATAGGTAGTACCTCTGTATGTGTATACAAGTATGTGTGTGTGTGTGTGTGTGTGTGTGTGTGTGTGTGTGTGTGTGTGTGTGTGTGTGTGTGTGTGTGTGTGTGTGTGTGTGTGTGTGTGTGTGTGTGTGTGTGTGTGTGTGTGTGTGTGTGTGTGTGTGTGTGTGTGTGTGTGTGTGTGTGTGTGTGTGTGTGTGTGTGTGTGTGTGTGTGTGTGTGTGTGTGTGTGTGTGTGTGTGTGTGTGTGTGTGTGTGTGTGTGTGTGTGTGTGTGTGTGTGTGTGTGTGTGTGTGTGTGTGTGTGTGTGTGTATGTGTGTGTATGTGTTTATAAGTGTGTGTAAGCAACGTATGAGGGTATGATATGTGATTGTAAATATATGTGTGCTTGTGAGAGTAGGATATTATATGTGTTAAAGTAATAAGTATTTGTATATGTATTCAATTGTGTGCAAATAGTATGTATGAGTGAACGTGTGTAAGTAAAATGTGTATATTCTTATCTTAGCATCTACCTCTCATATTTTGAATGAAATGAGTAAATTAAAGGTCTTGAAAAGATTTATCGAATATTGTAATCTATTGGCTTAGTCATTTCCTCTCCGTCAAATTATTATCATGTATATTGTCTACTCTCTCTATCGTCTAGTCTTCATGATAATATGATGATATGTATAATAACTGTGATATTTTTTCAGGAATGACTTCGGAAGTGGAAAAGAAAAAGCAACAATATCAGGAAAACATAAATCGCAAGGCTTTAATAGACTAGGTGAGGGTGACTGGACTAAGGAATCAACGAAAAAGAAAAATGGATAAACTACTCGAAGATCTGTCCACTGATATAATCAGGTATGCATAAATCCTCTAATTATTTGTAGTTTAGTCTATTTGTGTATATATATACACGCATATACATATGCATGCATACCTATACATGTACCTTTTTTTTAAATAAATAAACTAGATTACAATTTATTTAAAAGTATTAAGGTATCCCACTTCCAAAGGTGCCGCCTTCAGTTGGCCTGCGCCCGCAGGGATAAGTGGAGGGATTTTGGCTATTCGTGTAAGTATTTATGAGTTATTAATGTGATTACTATAATGATTTATTAATGTATTTATAGGCACGGGTTACATATGATTTTTGGAAATTTTTCATGATGGAAGGTAGGAAAAACCTTTACGAGTACAACTCCAAGAACGGAACTGATATCAAGATTTCCCGTGAAAGGACATTACCGCTGGAAGATCAGGATCGATTAGGGTAAATATTTTGTAGTTCTAATATGTGCTATTAATACCAAATTTTTAGATTGTTCATTCGCAGAAGTATCCGAGATGCCTACACAAGAGCAAATAAAAAATGTGTAGAAATTTCGTTGAGAAAGTCAATGATAAAAATTGGTGATAATAATGTGAGTTTGCTTGCTTTTCTTGTGTATAGATATGTAATAATTTAATACAATATAAAAATTTTTTTTATCTAAGCCCCTAAAGCCTGCTATTGCTGCAATTGTATTGAATTTGGATCTAACTGCATGGTCGGGCTTGCCAATAGAAGAACTATTGACTGAGAAGGAGAAAAATTCCGTGAAGGTAAGGTTTATTTATTTATTTGGTTTATTTAGATTATTCCTGTTAAGATATGTATATAATAATAATTTTGAAGGTTTTATACTTGGTTTAGAATAGTAGAGAGAAGGTAACTACAATATTGTTGATTGTAATTATTTTTAATTGTAATTATTTTAGGCAGGCGAAATAGAAAGAGGAAGCATGAAACTTCCTGAGATCGACCTGCCAGTAAGCAATCAGGATGAACATCTTGCCTTGGATTTGAATAAAGAAAATGAAGAGGACACTGCTAATTCACACAATGATGAAGAGGTAAGTAAACTATATTGAGATATAACGTGTATTAGGTAGTGCTATTTATTAGAACCATATATAACTTTTTGATTTTATAATTTTGGTTTTATAGGCTCAGTCCTCAACAATGCTGAAGAAACGTTCCCTTGAAATGGAAGATGAACCACCTGCAAAGAAAGCAGTACAGTAATATGGATTACAAGAAGATAAAAGGAATTACGAGTATTAGGGACTGAGTTTTATTTAATACGTAAATTGTTTGTTTTGTTCTTGTTCTATTCTTGTTCAAGTAAACTATCATGACAAACTGTAACGACTTATAAAATGATACTGTCTATGCGACAGTCGGCCCAATTGGCCGGAACGATACAATCAGCCCCAATTGGGCTGTGAGGTAAAACCTCTTAAACAACAAAACAATAAAATAATGGAAAGAATATCCAAAAGAAACTAGCCTACTAGTGGAATCGGGAAACCCTCGAGTTCACACTAGTGGCTAGCATCAACAATAAAAACTAAAGGTGATGGACAAGGAAATGTAATTGTGAGTATTACAAATTAAAAAATAAAAACAAAGCTCCGTTTCGTTCCTACCCTTAGACGGAGATAAAGAATGTTTTATAGCCCTCCCCGGAACTCCTCAGTAAGGAAGGAGGGCTGTTTGTATAATTTAAATAATAAAATAAAATAACTTACCTGTGTGGAGTCCTTGTATCCTTGTCCTTGGGAGTAGCGCGTATGTTTGAATAGGAAGAGGGCTGTATAATTAAATGCAGTCGTTGTCAATCAATTAGCAAATATAATACTCAGTCAAAAGAGGCTGAGCGGTAAATTTAAAATTATATTTGCAATAGAGCATGAGTATAATCATATTGTCTGGTAACTAAATAGCATTAACTTAGAGCATTGTTGTTCGGAGGTGTGTGTATGTATGTATGTGAGTGTGTGTGTATGTGTGTTGAGTTGATCATGTTTGAAAACCACGCTTTTTAGGCATTGAGAAACACTAGAAACTGCAGTAGGTAACGGTTTGTAGAGCGCATAGAGGTAAGTTGACATGTTGATTATGGAAATGATACCCATTTCACACAGCAAGCTTCACTGTTTACCTCATATGTCAAGGTAAAGGAGAAGAAGATTTGAATTTTGGCTGAAACTTCCATTGTGGAAACAATCAGTATGCTGTTTATGATCGTCATTCCTTCATCTGATCGCGATATCCACCGGACTAGCGCATTTCTTCTTCACCTTCACAGTATCTCTCCAACTTAATAAATTCGATTCTTAAGGCCGCATGCACTAACATCCCCGCGGGGAGGGGATCGCAGCTTCAAAGAAAGCTTTATATCTCGAAACTCCATATACCTGGATTTCACGTTGTGTACCTATCCGTAAGTATTCCTACTACCCTTCACTATGAACATGTTGAAGAGGAACGAGAAGCTGTACGCCGCATTTTCCAGCTTTAGTATGATCCCTGATGATCCTCGGCGCTTTCCTTCAAAGTCATTTTTTTTTCTCCGAAGTTAACGAAAAACCTCCAAAGTTGTGCAGATTATCTAAACCGACAGTGCTAAGCATGTTGCTGATAAGAACAAACGATGTTTTGAAGTCATGAAATTTTCGATAATCCACAGGTCGAAATTTGAGGTTTACCGAAAAATTCGACTTTTCAAAAACTCATTTGTTCTCATCAGCAACATGCTTAGCACTGTTGTCTTAGATGTTCAGTACAACTTTGGAAGGTTTTCGTTAACTTCGGAGAAAGAATGACTTCAACGAAAAGCGCCGGGGATCATCAGGGATCATACAGAAGCTGGAAAACGCGGTTCGTATAGCTTCTCGCTGTTCTTCAGCATGTTCATAGTGAAGGGTAGTAGGAATACTTACGGATAGGTACACAACGTGAAATCCAGGTATCTGGAGTTTTGAAATATAAAGCTTTCTTTTAAGCTGCGATCCTCTCCTCAGCGGGGAGGTTAGTGCATGCGGCCCTTAATTACGACCCCCCCCCCCTCAGTCTTACGGCCGCATGCATTAACCTCCCCGCTGAGGAGAGGATCGCAGCTTAAAAGAAAGCTTTATATTTCAAAACTCCAGATACCTGGATTTCACGTTGTGTACCTATCCGTAAGTATTCCTGCTACCCTTCACTATGAACACGTTGAAGAGGAGCGAGAAGCCGTACGAACCGCATTTTCCAGCTTTTGTATGATCCCTGATGATCCCCGGCGCTTTTCTTTAAAGTCATTTTTCTTTCTCCGAAGTTAACGAAAACCTTCCAAAGCTGTACTGAACATCTAACACAACAGTGCTAAGCATGTTGCTGATGAGAACAAATGAGTTTTTGAAAAGTCGAATTTTTCGGTAAACATCAAATTTCGACCTATGGATCATCGAAAATTTCATGACTTCAAAACATCACTTGTTCTTATCAGCAACATGCTTAGCACTGTTGGGTTAGATAATCTGCACAACTTTGAATCCATGCGAAACACTTTGGAGAAAGAAAAATGACTTTAAAGAAAAGCGCCGGGGATCATCAGGGATCATACAAAAGCTGGAAAATGCGGTTCGTACAGCTTCTCGCTCCTCTTCAACATGTTCATAGTGAAGGGTAGTAGGAATACTTACGGATAGGGACACAACGTGAAATTCAGGTATCTAGAGTTTCGAAATATAAAGCTTTCTTTTAAGCTGCGATCCTTTCCCCGCGGGGAGGTTAGTGCATGCGGCCCTTACACTCAATACGATCCCCCAGGTCGGGCGCGCCTGACCTCACGCTCAACCCTGCCGGCAGCTCAGGTAGTGCTCTAATGGCTAAGATATTCCCCTCGAAACTGGAGCCAGGACAGTATTTCGCATGGATTCATGGCTCAACCCTCAGTTTCGCGCGAGGACCACACGTTGGGCCATGAATCCATGCGAAACACGACCCTGAGGTCCAGTTTCGAGGGGAATATCTCAGCCGTTAGAGGACTACCTGCGGTGCCGGTTCGGCAGTGCCTCATTAGGGCCCCAAAATTGATTTCACGTAAAATCCACATAAGTCCAGATTTGTCTAGAAGTTGCCTTTAAATGCAGCGGAAGTCCCGGCGAATCCCGGCGAAAGAGGGTGCCGGGTTTATGTGGCGATGTTAAAGTAAACCCCCTACCTAAGCGATTACTGAAGTTCGGACCGAAAGAGGGGGTCTACCAAGCCTGAAATTTGCTCCGAAAGTGGCCCGAATCGTAATCCCGGACGCCGCCATACAGCAATATTGATTTGCAAGGCCAGAGTGCGTATAGCGCACACAGTCATGAACGCAGGGTCCCGCAACGACTCTGCGTCTCTAACTTGCATGCGTCTCCCACTCGCCCGAGCCTACTGTAAGATTCGGGCCACTTGAGGGGCGATTTGTAGAATTCGTAGACCCCCTTTCGCGCTGCAAACTTCTGTCGTCGCTTAGTTAGGGGGTCTACTATTAAATTACTACCAGAGCAGTGGCGTACCCAGGATTTCGGCTCCGGGGGGGGGGGAGGCGCGACAAAAAAATTTTTTTAATGAAGGTGCGTGGCGTCGCACTCCGAAAAATTTTTTGGGATGTTTCCCAAAATTTTTCCGGGCCCCTCCTTAAAATTTCAGGAAAAAGAGGCGTGGCAGCAGCCACGCCCCCGGATATTTTTTTACAAGGTTAATTTGAATTTTTTAAAATTTTTAAAAATTATTTTAATTATCTACAAGTGAAAACAAGTCCTGACGTCGCCATATGGAGAGGCATGTGTTTTGTCTTTGTCTTAATCCTGAAAATAGGGTTTTTCTGCAGAATAGCCTTGTTCAGACGGTGCAGTTGTGGCCTTGTTCAGACGGTGCGTGAGCATTATGATTAATCGTCGCCTTTATGTTGCATTCACATGATTCGAGCACGCGTATGAACGAGCAACGAAGAATCACTTTGCTGAACTTTTGGGATTCGCTTGGTAATATTCGAAGATGCTGGCTTTTTGTCGAACATTCACTTAGACGATTGCTGGGGAAGGCGGCAAAGCTGTGCGTCAAACGCGTAGCAAAAAAACAGATCGTTGGTCTCTTGCGGTCCGGTCGCCGGCATTCGAAACAATGTCTGCGTCTCTTTCATGTCCAGATAAATCTTGATAGCACAGTCGCAGCGTTGTTGCTGTTTGTTCGCAAAGTTTTCGGGAGCTCAACTCAAACTCTTTGATCACATCGAGATCGAGTATATGAAAATACATGTATGACACTTCTGCAGTCGTATCTCCTCGCAAAAGATGACCGTTTTTGTTCAAAAAGTCGACTCCCTGGATGATGAATGCTTTTTGGCAGATCGCATTCCTTTAAAAATATCCGACAATAGCTCTTAGAGTAAGCTGCATGAATGCTTGCAGATCAATGCTGGATGAGGAGCTCTCGCTAATTTTTCCACACCACAAAATCAGAGAGACCGCTCACGAGAAGCCGACTTTGCAATCCGCATGTCTCGGCGATTATCTGAACGGAGCGCAATTGCTGCTCCTTTAAGCTTGAGACATACTTTCCGCGATTTCTCTAGATCGCCATATTCACTCGACTTGGCAAACTGGTTTGCTCAATGTTACTTCGATTTGTTTAGCGGTAAATTTAGAGCTTGAAGACAGCAGCTCGGCAGAATGACAACTCTGGGATATTCATCGTTTTTGGTTCCCCTGGATGAGTTAAGTCCAGAACTGTGCTTTGCAGCTTTAAAAGAGATCAATAACTCGCTTTCCTGGACGTAAAAAGTGTTGTTTGGGCGGATCGCGAAAATGGCTGTTGGAGTCATTAATCCAGTTTCCGCCGAGATTATGGTGTCTCCACTCACGAGCCAATCGCGTTCTTGACAAGCTTACGCCGTCCGCCCAAATAGAACTTTGCACGTCTAAAAAACGGGTTATTGATATCTTTTGAAGCTACAAAGCACAGTCTTGTACTATGCTCATTCAGGGGAACCGAGAACGATAAATATCCAAAGTTTTCATTCTGCCGAGCCACTGTCTTTAACTTCAAATTGTAGAGTTTCCTGCTTATTGCAAAGAAATTCAAAAAAATGCTGATTTCAACTTACAAATCCAGAAAATCTTACCTGGTATCTCTTTACAGCCTTGTATAATCCGCTCTGATCACATGGGCCCGTAGTAAACCCTTATTCACCTCGGTTGACCTGGGATGAGCCA